TTTATTTTGAGTAAAATAATAAGGCAAGTTCAACCTTCAGTCAAACCTGGTAATTCAATTGCGACATGGCACAAGAAGATTGCTCCAGTTAGCCTACAGGCATGTGTCAAAGCAGGGTTAATACTTGCATAGCAGCAAGCTCAAAGAAGCAATTGTCTTACTTCAGGCAATGATGCGGTGTCTAATGATCTGACGGTCAATGACAGTTGACTAAAACAAGGAACCTTAAAGACTAGCTAGTAGGCCATAAAAATAAGTGGATTTTTTCTACATGCAACACTAGATTCCACTTCATGCCTTTTAGACATCGTTGATTTCATGGACCATATTCAATAGTTGTATATCAATTGTTTTGCCCAAAATATATCATTTATAAAAGAGAATCCATATCTACATTTTCACATATATTAATGCACCATCAACCGTTTTCATTTTACAGACTCAGATCTCCAACTCAATTAGCCTCATCTGCCCTAGAATAAGAAGTATAACTATGAAAAATTCTATACCTCCCCAGTAAACTGCACGGTTGTGTATTTGTTATCAATTCCAGACGTTCCTTCAAAAACCTGGTCCAAAACAAATATGAGCAAACAACACAATAATAAATGCAAGCACTTAAAAAAATTCTACAACATTAAGATTGAGCTTAAGGGGGCATTCAACCAAGGTTTTAAACATCGGTTATTGCATCAATTTCAAACCCAGCTGAACTGATCTGCTTTGATCCAGGAAAAAACCTTACATCCAATAATTTTTTACATTTAAAATATTTTATTCAAAAATTTTTTTTTTTTGATAATTTTTTTTCATTTTCTATTTTCCCAATCTTTTCATTTCCCTCGTTATTTTCCAATATATTGGCCAACCCATTTTCACCCAATATTTTGAAATATCAGTTTGATTCATCATCTCATTACCAATATAGCCCAATACTTTGCAATATATAGGCGAAGTTATAAGCAGCATAACAGGCCCCATGTAACACCTCTTTCGAAGATTAGCTGGTTTCAGTCAAACAAGATAAGGCTTTACCAAGGAGTAGCAGTGCTTGTACTCCATAGAAAGCAATATCTGAGATTACCTCATCCAACAACCAAGTCTATGCAATTAAAACGTACTCAGAATGATTTTCTGTTTGAATTTTGATGATGCGTCAGAAGAAACATTTTCTCAGAGCATATATGATACTCAAAACAAAGAGATTGAAAAGCTTATGTAATGGGAAATACCAACCAGCATATTATTATTAATTTTGAAACACTATAAATAAACCTAACAGGCAGTAAGAAAAGAAGGGGGAAAAAAAGAGGTGCAATTACAGACACTGCTGCACACTGTGGCACCTGTCAGTAAATAACTTCACTGGAAGATGAGAAAATTGTTCATTAATATAAAAAAGGCATAAACAACTATCATCTCAAGTCATTCGAAACCCTCTAGACAATTGGGTCCCTGAAATGACTTCACTGGAAGATAAGAAAATTGTTTGATACTGGATGTTGATAAAGTGAAACAGTAATCACCTGAACAACAGCCTTCTCCCCATCAACTTCTAGGACTTGACCACGTCGTGTTGTTCCATCTCCCAAACGAATATTGACAATCTCTTGATACTTGGGTCCCTGAAATGATCAAGTAGAAAATGCATTCAACATTTCCGTTATATATTAATATAAAAATGTGACTCAGAGACCATAAGAAAATCCAAATAAGGATGGAGAGAGTGCAATACCCACCTTAACCTTTTCAAGAATAACCAGAGGTCCAGCAACTCCAGAGACAGTTCTATACTCTGCAAAACACACAAAATAGTAAATATCCATATCACTATAATGGAGATTGGAGAACACCAATGCTGGAAAAAATATTAATCCAAATTTAGCAAGGAACTGACAGCCTGATAGAAAATTAATAGCCCCGAGCCGAGATGCATTTTGTTCTAACCTATCTGATATAGTCATTCGGGGGCTACATTGATGTGGCAACATAGAATGATGACAGAAAATTCAACAACAACAACAACCTATAGTAGTGACACTTGTGAAAAAGTGTCTAGCAAGATAACGTAAGTTACAGTAAGTGTGGGTGGTGAGAAGTACATCATATGGCTGAAGGAGCATTCTGGGAAGTATGGCAGATATGTAGGAGGCATCAAACCACGAAGCTAGAGGTGAGGCAGCCAGAGAAAGAGAGAGAGAATAATAGAGATCTGAATTTGGTGAACCAGAGCCTCCAAGCCAGACAAGAAGATTGCTTACTTGGACATGAAGGAGGTGGCTCACTATACTATACATACTGGTTACACCATGAAGGCACACTCTCTAGGACTCTAAGATTAATCAAGGTCCAGGTTCCTCTTGGGAAGGTGGAATGAGCACCTTGACAAACCTAACTCTAATAATCAAGCCACACAACCCAAGAAGAACTCTTGGGTATGGATCACAAAAGTAGCCCTTGATTGCCCCATAATCAGCAAAACTAACTCTATAATCGCATTTTATTTGCCATCCCCAATGATGATTGAACTTTTTATATATAATATTATATCATTGTGACCAGAAACAGATATTGTTTTTTTTTTTATATATTATTATATAAATTCAAGAACTTACCCATGCCGATCTCCGGCGTTCCCTCCTCCATGTCGAAATTGTTTTTCACCGCACCCATATTCACAACCTAAATACACAAGGAAGTTTCAAGCAAAATTATCAACTAAAATGCCACTAAAATCAAAGAGGTTCCATTTCCACACACAACTTTATTTAAGTTGATTTACAAACAAAATTACATGGCTTGGAAATCAACTACTGAACGAAAACCAATGATTCAGAAATCAAACCATTGGTTTTCGTTCAGAAGTTGATTTGAAATAACGTATTGTCACCATCCTGACCATGCCAGTACATGAAAATCACTAACGAGTATTCTAAAATCAAGACTATAAATGTCTCTTCTGCTACATATCTGAATACATATATAAATACAGATTCATATGCGTTTATACAAACATCCGATCGAGACAGCTAGGGCAAAGCAATAATTGAATCATGATATACAATTCAGAAGTTGCGATGAACATATAAATCAAAATCTATACATATAAAAGGTATATAAACTGATCATGAAATCAAATTGAAGAACAGTAAACTGATAGGGAGATCTGAAGAGGAACGAACCTTGCTTTTGATCTGAGATAGAACGTTGGAGAGGAGTGGGGCAGAGAGAGAGAGATGATGAGCCAAGGAAAAACGGAACTGAGTGAGATCCTAATGGGTAATAATAAAAATAAACAATTTATTTATTTTTAAAGAATTAAAAAAATAAAATCAGTAGTATACGTGTGATGTGATGATAGGTTGGAGAGGGCAGAGATTATCTGCGTCACGGGCCACCGAAATTCTACGGATTAGTATGTGGAGGCATGTGAAAAGATAAACTACTTGGCAATGAGAAGTTATCGGTTGGTTTTGGTATATAATAACGTAGTGTTTTAATGTTGTTGTAATTGGTGGAGATGAAATTTATAAATTTGTGTTGAATGATTAGAGAATATGAATTGTAATTGGTTAGAAGTACCACCATATAACATGTCATCCCAAAGCACCAAATAAATTTTCACTGGCGATGGATATGTGGCACGTTTTGTATGGTTGGTTGGGGTCCACCAGACACGGGCCTCCCATGCCCGGGTTCGCCATGGATTTGGGCGGGTCGGGTTCCGGCTTTGGGGTGTATTTCTTTTTTTTGGGCAATTAAATTTTTTTTTAAAGTTAAAATGTTAAAAAAAAAAATTTAAAATATATACTTTTTTTTTTCAAGATTCTTCCTCATACACTGTACTATTTTTGCTTTTTTTTAAATGCCAAAAAAACCATTTTCAAATTGCATAGAGACTTTAGAAACATTTATATTATTTTTACTATACTATTATAAGTTAAATATGTTATTAGGCTTCAATTATTATTATTTTAAGCATGATCTTAGAAGAATTTTTAAATTATGTAATTTGTATTTTTTGGGGCAGTCATTACTAAGTAAATTTAACAAATTTAATATTTATATGAATCAAATCATTAACTAAGGGCAAGTTTGGGAAGATGCAAAAAAGCCAAAAAGCCAAAAAGTTACTCAAAAAGCTAAAAAGTTAATACTATTCACCAAAAGTCAACAATTACGGCTGCACAACTCCCAATTCAAATTTTTCTCTACAAATCAATTTTTACAATTTTTTATTACACATTTTCCAATAAAAAGTCAAAAAGTTAATCCAAACATCCATATTTTCAACCTCAATTTTTTAGTCCAAAAAGACAAAAAGTGCACTTTTTTAGTCTTCCCAAACTTGGCCTAAATTCAATTATAAATGATTGTGGGACTTTTAAACAAATATTTAAAATTAAATCCTAGAGAAAAATAATACATAAATTTTTTTTCCTTTTTTATTTTTCTAATTTATTGTGTAACTAAATATTTTAAAAATAAAATAACAATTTTATAAATAGGTGAGCTAAATTGGACTGGAATTACCCCTTCAAAGCTCCTAGTTTGAAAAATAAATGAACTCAAAAACTTAGCTCAATCCGATTCTATAGGCTGAAATATATATCTCAACCTCCAAAATGTTTTTGAAGCAAAAAAATACAAATAAATAAATAAACAAAATCTAAAAATATCCCTTTAACAATTTAACAATATGTATAGAGTACAAAAGACAGTTCCCGTTTATTTCCGATTTCTCAAATCAAATGGTGCATAGCTCAGATTGAGATCCTCTCCATTTAAACTGGCAATGCTTAACTTAGCTTTTTAAAAAATAATAATAATAATAAAACAACAACAACAACAACTCAGCTTGCAGCCATGCATTTATTTTTGGAACTACAGCAGCAACCTGCACTGGCTCCTTCATATCCTTCCTTTTTTAGCCATTAGTTCAACCAATTCCCAAGTCAAATGAGGTATATCTACTGTAAATTAGAAATCCATACTGACTGAGTACAAGTCGTGCTGCTATTCAAGTCGAAAATAAGCTTGGAGCTGACTAATGTGACAAGCACCGATTGTTCAAAGCTAAAGTAAGCACTGACAAATCCAATATACATTACACAATCCAAATCTGTTGCATTAGCTTTACATCAAGTATACATGTCACTTGAAATTCACAATATGTATATAAGTTGCAGTATACAGATTCTACAGTCCAATTTGATGAGATATGGTACCTTTTTTCTTTTTTTTTTTTAATTTTCCTCATTTTGGGTTGCCATTTTTCAAAAACAGTTGCTTATCAACATTGGTCCTACCAATAAATCCACATTTTACGACAGTAACTTCATGAATGTACACTTTCGAAGTTTCACTGGATGAAGTAGTTGGACCATGGAAGTTGGGCTCTTATCTCATTAAGGTTTCTGTTGAGGTTACGCAGTGCTTGAATGTGAGGCTCGTCCTCCTCTACTGGTATAATTTTAGCAAATGTTCCTTCTTCTAGATAGTCCACCACCCTATTGGCAGCTTCAAGTCCCGTGACAAACGATTTCTCCTGATAAAAAAGAACAGAAGTGCATATGCTTGTGAAAAAGCTATCAATCGAAATGTTTACAAAAGCAAAGTTTTGAAAGAAGAGTTCAAGGGTTTGTACCTGTGACCACGAACCATGTCGTGTTATTATCCAGTCCCCAGCCATGAATAAATTTGGAAATGATGTAGATCCACGCATCATATACTTGTACGAACCTTTAAAATAAATAAATAAACTGAGAAAGCAACATTAATAAAGAAGTATTTACTAGCATGGATAGTATATACACTACATTTTTTATTTTCCAGAAGAAGGTAAATCATGGTTGGCTCATCTAATTGCACAGATATTCCTGAGATAATGTACCTAAATAGTTTGGATTTTCACTTTATATGACCGGTGTTATTGTCTGAAACTCCTATACACAAGCATATTTTTGTCCAAACAAAATGGAAAAATCAAATAGAAATAACAAGGAATTAAGAGAGCTACCTGGGAAAAAATGAGTCAGGGATTTTGGAAATCTTCCAATTTCTTTATCGATCACCGCCACGTTCTCAAAGTCCTTGATGCACTTTGATAGGTAAGACATTGCTTTTGCAACCACATCCTCATCCTTCAGTGGCAACAACTCAGTAGCGTGAAACTGTACTAACAAAATATAATAAGAGAAACAAATATTACAACTAATTTACTTAAATATCCTGTTTGCTACAGAGAATAGTAGATGTCATACTCACCAAGTCAGCTTGCACGACTGTTACTGGATCGTCTTTATGCTCATCATAAATCGCATTTAAGTCGAAGAAAGTCCAACCATTTGAATCATCAAATCCAGAGCAGGCGTTGCTCGCTTTTGGAATGTTAACCTGGTTTTGTGTGCAGTTAATTTGATAAATCAGCTCTATTTTCCAAAATTGCATAAAGAATTTTAAGTTTCAGGACTTTTGAACAACTAGCAGATACCAAGGGTGTTATTTTGACAGACATGAGATAATTGCAACAAGTCATGCATTCCAAACTTCAATATGGTAAAGAAGTGTGATGTAACATGGCAAGGGATCCATTTTTTTTTACGCTTCTAGATTTGTGCTCATACCCCAGAGCTAGGCAAGGGACCCACTTGAAAGATCTAAAAATGGACATCGATGATCCATAATTTGGTAAGATTCCGGAAAAAATCTCTCCAATATAGCAAGTAGTAGGCTCAAACGCCACCCCTTTCAAAACCAGAAAAGACAGGCTGGTTAGACATGGATATTGGGAATCGGTCCTTGGTCTGATGGGGTCCAACCACATGTTTCTCTTACTCACAATTTTTCCCCACAAAAAATGTCAACAAACAAATTTATTTTCATTTTATTTATTAACTCATTATTATGAGAACTGGTGAACATGGAATTGGCCCCTCCACAATTCAACAACCAATTTGGTTCAGGAGACACTGAACACACATGCTTTTGCTATATGCAAAGAGCAATAACTAGAATTCCTTCTAACAAAGAGGCAAAAAGAAATTCTGTCACTACACACACCTTACTATCAAGCTGTAGCTTAACAGTGAGTAGGTCAATGCTAGCCAAGTTCAGAACTTTCAGAAACTCATCCCTTGTGCATAATGCTGCACTACAAAGAAGTCATTGGCAGTTAAAAGAAGAGAGCAGGAATAAAGTAGAACTAAAGCTCTATCATGTTTGATGTAATCCAATTGATTGTGGAGAAAGTTTAAACTGGTTTCTAATGGGAGAATAGATTACATATTGTTCATTCTTGACAGAATATTAAGCATACGCCATAGTCTTTGGCAACAACAAACAAGTTTTGCAACTCAAAGAATGGAAACAATGTGTGGATGTCATAGAAGTTCAAATTGGTTCCCACAGTTGAAAATATATAAAAGTTTGAAGAATGTTGTTCTTGATGGACGTGCCTGCATTTGAAATTTTGCAGTGGCAAGCAAGCCTTCTGACTCAAAGACACGAACAAGCACACAGATAAATAAGGAAAAACAGATTCACAAAGATGAAAATTTTGATAAAACAGACCTGTTCTGAATTATTTCCTGCAGCGTGGAGATTCCAACAGCCAAAATTACTGCATCAGCTTTTAAACTCTCTTTCCCACAAATTACTTCAGAAATGCACCCAGTTTCCATGTTAAAGAAGAAATCTGTCACTTTTCTGCCCTCCAGAAATTTACAACCTTGGATTCTCATGGAGTCCATCCATGGCCCAAAAATCTTTTCCCCAACTGTCCCACGACACCATACCAAATCAAAATCTTTCTGTCAACATCAATAAAAATGAAATCTATAAATTTCTATAGGAAAGACCCACTGACAAGAGAAAAGACGACAATGCAAAAGCTATAGGTTAGTCAAGATTGCTCCAAACTTCACTTGTTCAATGCAAACGATACCAGTAAGTGTATGGATTGTAAGCACCTACCAGAATGCCATTCCAAATAATCATATTGATGGCTTGTGTTGTGGTATTGAGGCAAACGTTCTTAGTCTCATCCATGTTCTTATCATAGTTAATGAATGGTATCTTATTGCAGTGGTCTAATGAGATTAATGATGTAATCATAATTTGAGATTATCATTCTTTTTTTCTTTATTTTTAATTTAAGGAAAGCATACTTCTGCGGAATGACAAAATAGGATTTATGTAACTGACACCAAATAGTTGAGATTAAGCTTTTTCTTGAGTTGAGTTAAGTTGGTAAACATGCAATTATCATTTTCACAACTCTTAAAACTTCTCATAGAAAAACTCTATATAGGTAAGGGTACCTATCAAACCATTAAAGAAACACAATACTATATTTGCAAACTCTATATCCTTGGTATTTGTCAAAATGATTTTGTATTTGGATAAGAACAATAGCTGAAGGCATATAAGAAATCAGGATTTTCCTTGGCATGTAAAAAGGAAATTCAATAATTATCTAGATTTTCTTTTTCTTTATATCTCTCTTTTTTGTGATGAAATGACAAAGATTATTGGCCGTATCTCTGGTTCGAGATTCATATTTCCCATTCCTCGACTGCAGTGTCCATCACGAAAGAGAATTATATCAAAATGATTTCTAAATATTTGTGCAATGAATTAATACTCCAAGTCTGTTTTAGAAAAAGAACTAATCCAGTCAAACCTGGTGAGCAAGAACGAAATAGTATAGCATTCCCAGAGTGGCAGCGGCACCACATTGTTCTGCTGGTGCAAACAACCCCACTTGAAGCAGCGGATTAAAAACATCCTGATAAAGCCTCTCTGAGCAGCCAAATTGTCTGAAAAGCTCCCTTGCAGTAACTACCAATGAAATCTTTATATAAGACATTCGAACAATTTATTTTCATATTTGTTGAGGTGAAATAACTATAATTCATCCAGAGCAGGAATTCCACAAATGAGATCAGCTGAACTTGAATTATCCTTACTTGCATCATATTTTCTCCAGGATGTGTCACTGTTGTCAAAATCCACCACTGTAACCATAACACACATACAAGTTATTAAATTTTTGTTTTATGAAAAAAAAAAAACATATATATTGCTCCTCAACCATCACATCTGAATTCAAACAAAATTACAGGAGAGCACACCTGCAGCCATTAGCGGAAGTGATGTCAACCGATCTACTAAAGAGAGGCGAATGAACTACAACAATTTGACCGAGTGTAAAATTGTCTATCAGATGGCGACTTACTTTTTCTTTTTTGAATTACACAACACATTACACACACAAACATATAACGATGTGTTTCAAGACATACTTCGGTGTAGAAGAGAGTCCCAAATGGAGTTGGCCATTGAGGTAAATCTTGGAATATTGGAAATTCAACCTGAATAATAAAAGCATGTGTCAGGATTTTTTTTAAGCATTTCAAATTTCTTTACTACATAGTTGGCCTAAAAGTAGCAGAAACAAATGTCCAGAAAAGCGCAACTCATTCAGCACCATAACAGGGGCATGATAAAACCCTTTCCCCTATTTTGGAATGCAATTGGTGTGTCAGAAAGCAGACCGATAGAATTTACCTCCAATCCTTCTCCTGAATACTGTGCGGATCTTGTCCATTTCGTGAATGGTTTAATACCAAGCTCATCAACAAGGTTAAAAATATTTCGAAAGGGATACCAGAAACCTAAAGATGAAATAGATATTAGAGTTTGGAATTCAAATGATGGGAAACATAAATTGATTTGATTATGCAACTGATTTGCAAATGATTGGTAGATATATTATTCAGAAAAGCATAAGGCCACTGCCATTGCTAAAGCAATAAGCATGGTGGTTGATGTCAACTGCCAACCATATAAATTCAAATTTTTACTTCCTCCACCAAAGCAACAAATATGAAAAAACTCCCCCTATCATCATTTTAGTGTATATTTGTAATAAGTAGTAACTATTCCGGTATTGCGAAGAACAACTGTTAAAACTGCATTTTTGGCAAATCTAGGCATACAGAAACCTTTCCAGTGTCATTAATCCTGATATTGGTTTGCGTACAATCTTGATATTCCTCTAAGCAACAGATTCTTAATTAATTACGAAAACAAAAGTTCCATTGGGTTATTTGCTTTTTTGCATGTAACATGTTTGATTACCTCTGATTCCATAATCATCGGGACTACAGACCAATCTATTCAGCCCAAAATCATAACCACCTTCAAGGACAGTCACATCAAAACCCTGAAAAATCAGATACCCAAAATCACATCTTTTACCATTCAAAGTTGAACCTGGGGGCATATACATACAGATAATTGTATACACACTAACAAACACACACCATTCAAACTTGAACCTGGGGTTTATTATATATATATACATACAGATAATTGTACATACACTCAAGAGACACCCACCCTCCAAAATTGAACATACAGATAATTGTATATACACTCACAGACACCCACCATCCAAAATCGAAACTGAGGCATATACATACAGATAATTGTATATGCACTACAAACCACACCACCCAAAATTGAAACTGAGGTGTATTCATACAAATAGATGCTGGAGAAAAATGGTTTTAAACCATTAATAATCTAGAACCCACCCAATATTTTGGTGGGTCAACGTAGCAAATTGTTTCATGTTATTTGGTGAACAAGAGAATGTATTATAGTTGTTAAAACCATTAATAAGTGAATGAGAAATTGACTCATGAATATAGGTTTTGTAAGGAGGGGAGTTATGGACCGAGATAGGCTCAATCCAAAACACACACAAGCGGGTGTGGGTTGGGTTGGGTTGGCATTTATAATTTTTGGAGAAACCATTATTTGGAAAAATAAATAAACAAATAAATAAATAAAAACCGTATTTCAGTTTTCAAACCTTGGTCTCCAATGGTCACCTTTCTTGACCGAACAGTCACATTGGTGACTATTGCTTGCTACAGTTATTGCGTATTTAATGGCAAAGCAATCTCTCATTTTAGGATGAGAAAAAAACATAGATTGGATCCTAGTGGCAGTGTTCATAATCATCTTCATCTTCATTTGTTTTTTTTTTTTTTATTGGTTTTGTTGAGAGAGTGTTTAACACAAATTTGGTTCGCAGGACACACATTTTGTAGTGCTACTTCCGTGTGTAGGTGATTGTTGTATCTTGGAGACCGGACATCCGTAAATCTCAAGCACAATGGAGAGGGCGAATTTCTGTCTTAAAAACACAGTGTTCAAATACGGGCCTCAATCACACCTCTGTTAATTATTTTGGTTTTGGTTCACAATATTTGTAAGTATCTTCTGTTAATTGGTTTTAGTTTATTTATTGAATATTGAATTTTGCTTTGATATTTAATTAATAAATTAATTTACCGGGAAATTATTTTCAACAATAGATAATTGTATATACACTTGAAGCCATACATACACCCTCCAAAGTTGAACCTGGGGTATATACATAAAGACAAACCGACCATCGAAAATTGAACCTGGGGTGTATACACATACAGATAATTGTCTATACAGTCAAAAAACACACCATCCAAAGTTGAACCCGACTATACATACAGATAATTGTATATACACTTGCAGACACAGAGAAAGAGTGAGAGAAGTGGGGGACCTGTTTGCAGAGGTGGTGAGCAGCACCAAGGCCAGCCCAGCCAGAGCCAACGACCAATACCTTCTTCTTGGTCTTTAGTCCATTGGATTGGGTTTGGGATTGAGTTTGGATTTGGGTTTGTTGGTCCTCTGCTCTGCAACAAAACCCACTTCTGTATTCTCTTGTTGCTGCGAAGGTAGGGATGACCCTCCAACAACCAAGCATTTTTTGTGTCGTCTCTCTGTACTTATCAGACTATAACTGACTCCCAACCGCTATTCATTTCCCCATTTCAATTTCATGCTCTTCCCGGTTTCCAGAAGGGATATCTGTCAAATAGAGGAATAACATTCTGGCCACAAAAAAAGAAAGTCGCATAACATTCTAATCCTATGAATTTTAAGACAAATTTATTTTGTATTAATTTTAGTTATATTTATATATATAAATAAATGGAGTGTATGGTACAAACTTACAAATTAGTGGGTTTTTTTTTTTTTTTTGGAAAATTGAAAAAAAGGACAATAAAAAATCTAAATAAATGAAATATTTCCTAAAAAATTTCAGTACATATGTAATGTTTAAATTAATTACAAAAACATGTAATGAATACTTAACAAGTCAGTGAGATGGAAAATTCTAATATACACCATTTTAAAAATAGTATAATATATTTATTTTTAATTATGTCATTTTTTTTAATTATGACTAATTTTCTTCTTTAATTATAATATTATTTTAGTTATGACTCATGAGTTTTTGAGTTATATCTCGTATTGCGTTTAGTTATGATATTTTTTTTTTTATAATTATGACTCAAAAAATTAAAATGATGACATTTTATTTTTAGTTATAAGTTACATATGCACCATAGTGTTTCCAAAAATAATAATAATAATAATTAAAAAAATGCTTGGAACTCTCAAAGTTGGAAACCTCCATGACCCCCAAAATGGTGTGGACCAATCATGTTTTGTTTTTTATTTTTTTCTTTTCTTCTTGAATCAATCACAAGTGAGTGGAGATTATGGGATTATATTTTTTTTGGGTCGGTAGCATTGTTATAATAATTAACAAGATAAAAATTCACCTCCTTCCTCTCCAACTTCAACAATCACCCGCGATGAACCATCTTTCCCTCTCTCCACCACCTTTGCTCCCTCTCTCCACCACCTTTGCCAGCAGGGCCGGTCTTGAGTTTTCGAGGGCTTAAGACGAAACAAAAACGAAGGCCTATATGCACACAAAAAAATAAAAAATCATCCAATTTCGTATCACTACCGTCGATTAATACCAAAATAGACATCAAAATGTATTCATACAAAAAAAAAAAGTTATCAAAATTAGGAAAACTTTATTTAATTAAAATGTATTGGATATGTATTGAATCAATTATTATTTATTGAATATGTTGTTTATGAGTGCGTGTAGCAACCCAAACCCGCCCCTATTGGTTTAGCGTTGTAACCGGCCAGTAATCCGAGATTACCAAAGGCCTTCCTGTATAATCAAAATAATCGGGGCTTGCGGAAACAATAAACAAAAACACCAATAGTCCAATGACCTGTGCATCTATATGAATAAATAATCACATACAAAAGTGTTAATTTACCCACTTACATCACATAACATATAACATAATATTTTATACAAAACATATGTACGGGTCAAAAGTGTATAACATAACCGAAAGCTTGCTAACGGCCTCCCAGGCCTAACCCCAACTCGGAGGTACCCAAAACACTTGGTAGGCTTCAAAACAGTGGCTCAGTTCAAGACTACACCTAAGCTTAACTTCTAGGACGCTCACCTATACATATATATATATATAAAAATATATATAAATAGTGAACTAAAGCCCAGTGAATAACATTAAAGTAAAGAGGTTAGTGAACGGATTCCAAATACAATATTTGTAAAATAAATCATATCTCAATCAATCATAACAGTCTCATATCAGAACATAACATAATGGTACTGTAGGGATATATTTTCTGAATACCAACACGTGGCATGCTGACGCCGACGTGTCAGCCGAGGTGTCACGTGACGTGGTAGTTAAGCCGAGATGATATCGGAGTTGCCGAGGTTATCCCCGAAGATATCGGAATCCGAGATAAGCAGATAAGGGACAAGAGTCCTAAGGCAAAGAGGGGACTTAACCAAGATAAGGATAAAAGCCCTTAGGGAGTTTATCTTTATCTCTTAAAGAGTCCAAAGTAAGCACTAAAATTGGAGTTCATAGAAGTCATACTTCTAGTGGGACTTGGATTTAGTATATTATAAAAGAGAGGCACCCCAGTGGGTCTAAGGTATGCAATTTATGCTTTGAGTATTAAGTTTTGCACTTGATTATCTTTGAGAGATATACTGACTTGATCGTCGGAGTGCCCCCGGGTGGAAGAACCACCGCCGGAGCCTTTTCTTTCTGTTTCAGGTTGCTGAAGCCATCTATTCTACCTGTGCTCTCCAGTTGATCACTAAGCAAGCAGTGTGGTCAGATTTTCACCCACACAATTTGGCGCCGTCTGTGGGAAACGAAGGAAGAATAGATGGCCAGTAACGGACAGCAGGAAAATATTGGGGATGACGCTCCCGCTGGGAGTGGCAGACCAATTGACCTTGACATTGAAGGAGACAACCACAATACAGAAGCCCGCGACCAGGGTCACAGAGAGAACAACGTCATCCCAGAAGGCGACACGTCAAAAAGGACAAACCAAGGAAAGTACTACAATGAAGATAACCTCCAGGTATGGAGGGACAGGTGCCTACGGAGGGATGAGGAAGTAAAAGAATTGGCGAACAAGCTGGCAGACCTTCAGTCAGTCGTCAACTTCATGATGCAAAATAATGTTATGCAACCACCATACCCGCTACAAGATACGCCGATGCCAGCAACCAACGCCCAGAGGGGCGGAAGAAAAACAATCCCCGACGTCCCTCAGCATACCAGGAGCGGAAGGCATTCTCACCGGCCTTCCAGGGAAGTCAGACGAGAAGAACCAAGGCAAGAGGAGTCCCGAAGGACGCACCGCACGAAAAATCCAGAGCCCAAAGAACATCGGCATGTTCAAAAGCAAGCACTCTGCTTTGACACAACCCATGGAGAAAGATCCAAATGGACCCACCACGAGGACGAAAGCAGTGTACCAAAAAGACTAAAATCCAAAGACAGCCGAGCTCCAGGGAGGAGCAAAGAAGACCTGAGGGATTACCTCAAAAGGAGGCAACAGAATGCTGAAGCCGAGGTAAACTCCCCAGTAAAACCGAAGACAGCCTTCTCGGTGGAACTGGACAAATTCGAACCACCAAAAAGATTCAGCATGCCGAGGTTCCAAATTTATGATGGCAAGTCAGATCCAAACTTTCATGTTGGACTATACTTGAATTCAATGGCATTATATAGCGGGAACGAGCCGTTGCTCTGCAAAGTATTCCCCTCATCCTTTGGGGAAATTGCATCCGATTGGTTCCATAAATTACCAAAGGGAAGCATAAAGACATGGGAAGGCCTGGCCGAGATGTTTGTGGCCAGGTTCGTGACCAACAGGCTGCAACCCCTGAGGGTTGATGCTTTGATGGCTCTAAGAATCACCAAGGAAGAAGGCCTTAGGGCCTATGCGAAGAGGTACTACGAGGTGTTCAACCGAATACCCGAATGAAACCAAGAGGTAGCGGTCGTGTCTTTTAAGAACGGCCTGAAAGATGACTGCCCGCTACGGAAGTCTTTGGCAAAAACATTACCAAAAAGCATGGAAGAACTCATGGCAAGAATCGAGAAGTATGCCAGAGCCGAAGAAGATACATCGGGAAACAAAGAGATAAAGCAAGAAAAGGGAAACGGCTCGCCGAAGCGAAGCCGAAGCAACAATGGGCCGACCAAACAAGAAATAGAGTTGAGAAATAAACAGGCGGTAACAACGGTATTCCGGATCCCAATCCATAAAGTCTTAGATCGGATTCGAAATCAACCTTATTTCAGGGCTCCGGCAAGAGCACCAGGGGAATTCATGGGAAGGAACGTTGGTAGACGTTGTGCCTACCACAATGAAGAAGGGCACTCAACTCAAGGTTGCAGAGCCCTAAAAGCACACTTGGAAGACCTGGTAAGACAAGGCCTTCTGAGGGACCTGGTCGATGAGGCCAGGACAAGGGAAGAGCAGGAAAGGTTGCCTCAAGCACCAGCAGCACCCCTCCCCCAGCACAGCTACCACAAGCAGGAGGACCGAGGGTGGTTAATGTGATCCACTCAAGGGTCAACGAAAACGAAGTCAGAGGAGAGACCCAGAGGGTAAGACATTTACAGCATATCCACCAAGTCGGGGAGAAGGGACATCGGCCAGAAGAATGCCAAGGGCCGATGATAGCCTTTACTGAAGCCGATCTGGAATTGGTACAACATCCGCATAATGATGCCTTGGTAGTATCCCTCCAGGTTGGGGAGTGCCAAGTGAAACGCATCCTAATAGATCAAGGCAGCTCCTGTGACATCATGTATGTCAGATGTTACAAGGAGCTAGGCCTTCACCCTGACGACTTAGAACAATCCAGCGGCCCGATGGTCGGCTTTAATGGAACGCCGACATGGCCACTGGGCGCAACAAGCTTGGAGGTACAAGCCGGCACTAAGAAGATCAGGACGGAATTCCTGGTAATTGACACACCCTCACCATACAACATCATCCTGGGAAGACCGTGGTTGCATGCAATGGGGGCAGTTCAAGAATAGATGGCCAGTAACAGACAACAGGAAAAAACTGGGGATGACACTCCCACTGGGAGTGGCAGACCAATTGACCTTGACATTGAAGGAGACAACCACAATACAGAAGCCCGTGACCAGGGTCACAGAGAGAACGACGTCATCCCAGAAGGCGACACGAGAAATGAAAAAAGCCGAGATTATTCCTTAATTCACTTGTTGAAATTTGTAGCAATTTACAAGTTTGGAATTAAGCTGATTCCTTATCTTCGCTTGTTGAAATTTGTAGCAATTTACAAGTTGAAGTTAAGTCGAGATTATTCTTAATTCACTTGTTGAATATTTGTAGCAATTTACAAGTTGGAATTAAGCCTGATTCCTTATCTTGCTTGATTGAAATTTGTAGCAATTTACAAGTTGAAGTTAAGCCGAGATTATTCCTTAATTCACTTGTTGAAATTTGTAGCAATTTTACAAGTTGGAATTAAGCTGATTCGTTATCTTGCTTGTTGAAATTTGTAGCAATTTACAAGTTGAAAGTTAAGCCGAGGTTATTCTTTAATTCACTTGTTGAAATTTGTAGCAATTTACAAGTTGGAATTAAGCTAATTCCTTTATCTTCGCTTGTTTGAAATTTGTAGCAATTTACAAGTTGAAGTTAAGCCGAGGTT